CATGCCTGTAGTCCCAGCTACTCGGGAGGCTGAGGCAGGAGGATCACTTGAGCCCAGGAGTTTGAGGTTGCTGTGAGCTAAGCTGACGCCACAGCACTCTACCCGGCAACACAGCAAGACTCTGTCTCAAAAAAAAAAAAAAAAGGAACAATATAGTCCAATCTCCTCATTTGAAAATTGAAGAAACTGTGGCCCAGACAGGTGAAATTATTTGATCAAGGATGTACAGGTAGTTGATGTCACAGACCTTTATATATAGTTTGGATCATATTATAAATTTTGCTCTACAGCTTGCTTTGTTTTGCATTTATTATTGGGCCATGAGCATCCCTCCACTCCACAATGTTTATTTAAGTACTTACTTTAAGGTCTGGTTCTACTTTTAAAGATACTCAAACTAAGCTACTAAACATAAATGGGTATGTTTAAGTGTATGTATAAAACTTCTACTGCATACATAAGCTCCCCTCTGCCTGAACCTCTCTGAACAGATTAATTGAAAAGAAGTGAATGACATTGGAAACATGCCAGCATTGACGTTTACAGCCTGCTTTGGGGCTATACCTGCAACACTTGGGGGTGGGTGGGTAGGTGGGGTTCTGAGGCTGCTGAGTGCTCAAAGAGGTTGGAGGAGCACAGACAAGGCAGTCTCTGAACAAGCCAGGGCACAGAACCTCAGGTCAGGACACCTTTCCCTGTTGAGATGAAGACCTTTCTTTTGCAGGCTCTCACCTAAAATGTTTCCCCTCTGGCACCCAAGCCCTGCTGGCCTAGACTCTGAGAGTGAATGAATTTAAAGCTGACAGCTTCTCTCCCTCCTGAAGTTATACCTTTTTTTTTTTTTTAACTTTTTTTCTTGCCCAAACCCAGAGTTATGAAATAGACTCTTTTTTTTTTTTTTTGAGACAGAGTCTCAACTCTGTTGGCCTGGCTAGAGTGGCATGGCATCAGCCTAGCTCACAGCAACCTCAAACTCCTGGGCTCAAAGCGATCCTTCTGCCTCAGCCTCCCCAGTAGCTGGGACTACAGGCATGTACTACCATGCTCAGCTAATTTTTTCTATATATTTTTAGTTGTCCAGCTAATTTCTTTCTATTTTTAGTAGAAATGGGGTCTCGCCCAGGCTGGACTGGAGCTTCTGGCCTCGAGCGATCCTCCCAGAGTGCTAGGATCACAGGCGTGCGCCACCGCACCTGGCCTTAGGCTTCTTTTTGAGGACAGTTTCATTTCACACTGTGGAAGTCATTTGGTGCACACTTCTTCAAACTTTCCCCTTTTTCCTGAACCGATCACCTTCCCAGTACAGCTGATCTTTCTAGCAGCAAAACCAGCCTGCTCCTTCTCATTGGTACTCTGGGAGAGAGGATTGACCAAGAAATCCAGCCCAGGAGCGGGACCGATCTTTGCTTCCTGACTCCCTCCTCCCTCTTCAAAAACCCCGTGAGCTTCCTAGTGGGTTCTAACCTGTCCGGGGAGAAAAGAGCGGCTTACTCTCTCTTTTTTAAAATTATAAGATTCCTTTGAATCAGGCAAATAACATTAAATAAAAGTTAAATTTAAGTTCCTTTAATACACTGCTTAAAGTATATTAGAGTATACCCCATGCTCTCTAGCTGCCACACGGTGTAGCCATGATCCTCGTTAGTATAGTACTAGGGTTCGATCCCCACACGGGGAAATCACAGGTAATACTTTGCTTCTCTTCCCTCCAGTACATTTCAACCTTCAAGTCTCGGAAATGTCTCCTTCTTTTGGCTTTCAGTGTAAGTCCAAACCTAGCAGAAAATCCCAAATGGGATGTTCTGGATTAAAGAAAGTGGGACGTCGCAAAGACTCAATTCGTAAAGCCACAGGCCCCAGGGGAACTAGTGTGGCTCTACTGCCCAGTGAACCCATCTGGTTCTCCGACCTTGGGCGCTGGATGGACTGGGGCCTGCAGCAGTTTATTCTCCACCTGAGTCATGGGGCTAGGCCACGGAAAAAACTCACTATGTCTTTCCAGGGGGTTTCTGGGGATATTGCTCCTGGGCGATACAACGTCGGGGAGGGGTGTCGCAAACAGGAGCGACACTCTCACTGCATCCTCCTCCCTCTGTGCTGCGTTCTCTCCCGGGCGGAGCAGCGAGCTCGCTCCGGAGTTCCAGAGTCACAGCGCGATGTCCTGGCTCCTCTGAGGGAAGCGACTTGGTAAAGGAGGGGGAACATAATCGTAAGAACCCCAAGTCTTCGGCCAGCTGGCTTCATTTATTTATGTGTCATAAATTCTAGAATAGAAAAAGAATAAATTCATTTAAGTAAATTAAAGGTGACAGAGAAAAAAATGAGGCGCATTGCATTGGCCGGGAATCGAACCCGGGCCTCCCGCGTGGCAGGCGAGAATTCTACCACTGAACCACCAATGCTTACGACGTGAATGGCTCTCCAGTATCATCCCTTAACCGCACCCCTGTTCTGGATGCGTTCTACAGGGAATCAGGCGTCGTTTTTGAATCACAGTTTTAAAAAATATTGTCTTCATGTTTCGAGATACTATTTTACGACTTGGAAAAAAAATTTAAACTGGCTTTGAGGCCCTGGCTCTACTGGCGTGGTAACATGTTTTCGGCTTTCCCGGGCCGCCGGACTCAGACTCGCTCTCTAAGGCAGTCCGCAGGCCTGCGCGCGGGGGATCCGGCCCCCAACCGATCCCCTGGAGACCGTGTGTCTAGGGACATGACCGCCTTCCCTGGCTTCTGCCGCAGCCGAGCGCCCTCAGTCAGAACTAGCCGGGAGAAGCTGGAACTTTCTCCGCCCTTCCTTTCAGTTGCTGTGTAGGCGAGGCCGTACCTTCACCCCGCCTCGCCAGGCTAGATCCTCCCGAACCTTCTCCCGCGTCAGCGCGGCGCCTCCCCGCTGAGTCAGCCCGGGGCTGGTGTGTACGGGCGGCTCTCGGCTGGCCGAGAAGGTGCGGGAAGGTTCTCGGCGCCGGGGTGGGAGGAGGCGGGTCTCCTGCAAACGGATAAAAAGCCCGTGGAAGCGGAGCCCAGCAGATGCGAGCTGGGCAGGCTGGAGAGAAACCGAGAGGAGAGCAGCACCGCTGAGCACCCCCGAGCAGCACCAACTCCGCAGCCGCGTGCATCTGACTCGGTTTTCGACTCGTCCCCAGGAGCTCGAGAAGCTACGGCCATGTCCGCGCCGAGGGAGCTGGCGATCGGCATCGACCTGGGCACCACGTACTCGTGCGTGGGCGTGTTCCAGCAGGGCCGGGTGGAGATCCTGGCCAACGACCAGGGCAACCGCACCACGCCCAGCTACGTGGCCTTCACCGACACCGAGCGGCTGGTCGGCGACGCAGCCAAGAGCCAGGCTGCGCTGAACCCGCACAACACGGTGTTCGACGCCAAGCGGCTGATTGGGCGCAAGTTCACGGACGCGACTGTGCAGTCGGACATGAAGCACTGGCCCTTCCAGGTGGTGAGCGAGGGCGGCAAGCCCAAGGTGCGCGTGTCCTACCGCGGGGAGGACAAGACGTTCTACCCCGAGGAGCTATCGTCCATGGTGCTGAGCAAGATGAAGGAGACCGCCGAGGCGTTCCTGGGCCGGCCTGTGAGGCACGCGGTGATCACGGTGCCCGCCTACTTCAACGACTCGCAGCGCCAGGCTACCAAGGACGCAGGTGCCATCGCAGGGCTCAACGTGCTAAGGATCATCAATGAGCCCACGGCGGCCGCCATCGCCTATGGGCTGGACCGGCGGGGTGCCGGAGAGCGCAACGTGCTCATTTTTGACCTGGGTGGGGGCACCTTCGACGTGTCGGTGCTCTCTATCGACGCCGGTGTCTTTGAGGTGAAAGCCACAGCTGGAGACACCCACCTGGGTGGAGAGGACTTCGACAACCGGCTGGTGAGCCACTTCGTGGAGGAGTTTCGGCGGAAGCACGGGAAAGACGTGAGCGGGAACAAGAGGGCCCTGCGCAGGCTGCGCACGGCCTGTGAGCGCGCCAAGCGCACCCTATCCTCCAGCACCCAAGCCACCCTGGAGATCGATTCCCTGTTCGAGGGCGTGGACTTCTACACGTCCATCACTCGTGCCCGCTTTGAGGAACTGTGCTCAGACCTCTTCCGCAGCACCCTGGAGCCCGTGGAGAAGGCCCTGCGGGATGCCAAGCTGGACAAGACCCAGATCCATGATGTCGTCCTGGTTGGGGGCTCCACCCGCATCCCTAAGGTGCAGAAGCTGCTGCAGGACTTCTTCAACGGCAGGGAGCTGAACAAGAGTATCAACCCTGATGAGGCTGTGGCCTATGGGGCTGCTGTACAGGCCGCGGTGTTGATGGGGGACAAGTGTGAGAAAGTACAGGATCTCCTGCTGTTGGATGTGGCTCCCCTGTCCCTGGGGCTGGAGACAGCAGGTGGGGTGATGACTACACTGATCCAGAGGAACGCCACTATTCCCACCAAGCAGACCCAGACCTTCACCACTTACTCCGACAACCAGCCTGGGGTCCTGATCCAGGTATATGAGGGTGAGAGGGCCATGACTAGGGACAACAACCTGCTGGGGCGCTTTGAACTCAGTGGCATCCCTCCTGCCCCACGTGGAGTCCCTCAGATCGAAGTGACCTTTGACATTGATGCTAATGGCATCCTGAGTGTGATGGCCACTGACAGGAGCACAGGCAAGGCCAACAAGATCACCATCACCAATGACAAGGGCCGACTAAGCAAGGAGGAGGTGGAGAGGATGGTTCTTGAAGCTGAGCAGTACAAGGCTGAAGATGAGGCCCAGAGGGATAGGGTGGCTGCCAAAAACTCCCTGGAGGCCTATGTCTTCCATGTGAAGGGATCTTTGCAAGAGGAAAGCATTAGGGACAAGATTCCTGAAGAGGACAGGCGCAAAGTGGAAGACAAGTGCCAGGAAGTCCTTGCCTGGCTGGAGCACAACCAGTTGGCAGAGAAGGAGGAGTATGAGCATCAGAAGAGGGAGCTGGAGCAAATCTGTCGCCCCATCTTCTCCAGGTTCTATGGGGGGCCTGGTGTCCCTGGGGGCAGCAGTTGTGGATCTGAAGCCCGGCAGGGAAGCCCCAGTACCGGTCCCATCATTGAGGAGGTTGATTGAATGGCCCCTCAACATAAGTCACCTGTGACTTGTAGAAGCTGGGCTTGTGGGCCTTCTAGACTGTCTTCTATGATCCTGCCCTGTAACTTCAGGGATGGGAGGCTGGGAGTCTTTTCCCCAAAGCTGGAGTTTTCCTCTCAGTATGTTTTATAACTGAGGTCTTTGTCATTTGACTTCTTTTTCCTTTAGTCCTCTTCTCCCTCTTTAAACAAGAAGTCATTAATTTATTTATATTTGTGTGGCACTTTAATATTGCTTTCACGTACGTTTTGTGTATTTTGTTACTTGCACATAAGGATTTTGCTATGTGAAGTATGGTTATAGATCTAAATAAAATTTTAAAACTCCTTGTTGGTTTTCATTCCAACCAATTAAGCACACAAAGGGGCTAGGCTTTCAGAAGCAGAAAATATTGGGGCGGGTGCTGAAGGAGGAATGTGAAGAAAAAATCACAAGGCTGTGTGCATGATTTCTATAGGGGAGACAGGGTAAGTAGAAAAGTTTGCGGTTGACACATTGAAACAGTCTTGAAGTGTGAGGGCTGATGAGAGGAGAGGATTGTGACTCATAGTGCAGGAGGAGGGAGGGAGGGAGATGGAATTGGAAAGGTAGGGAATGGGGAGAAACTTAAGTATTGGCAAGGTTCCCTTGTGTGACCCAACAATAAAAATTCTGTATTGGGAGCCTAGTTTAGTTTGCCAGTCTTACGGGTCCTAATAACACTGACAAACAGTTCACATGCTTATGAGCTGTTTTTAGGCACATCACTTTATCCACTGTTCTTTTAGAGAAAAGATTCCAAGTCCTGGACTTTGGGGAATAGTTTTTAGAAAGTAGGTCTGGTGATACGACTACAGTTACTATTGACTTTATCTATACGAGAGAAATAGCATGGTCCTGTCTGGTTTGTGCTGATGGATCTGAGGTTAATAATGACTGTTAACAACAAAAGTGTAGTATAATGGCTATATTGGAATAAGACACCATAGATTTTCAGCTCTGCCATGTTATATACTGTGCAAATTAACTCTCTGAGCTTCAACTTCCCCTCCCCTATAGTGGAGATGGTGACAATAATAGTACCAGCCTTAGAATCGTTGTGAGGGTTCAATTAAATAATATATGTAAGAAACAAAGAAGAATGTTAGGCATATATTATCAACAAACATTAGCTATTACTAATTATTATAGTTGAATGTTAACTAGGTACAAGGTACTTGACATACACAATCTAATTTAATCCTCATGCAACATCACAGGGTATTATCCTCTTTTTGAAGATGAGGATTCTGAAGATCAAAAGGTTAAACAATTTACTCAAGGTTGAATAGCTATTAAGTGGGGACAGCAGGGAGGAGGGCTGGAATTAAGAACCCTGTCCTGCCTGATTGTAGAGCCTGAACATGTCACCTCACAAATAGGCCATAACTCTATTACCAAAACTTCCCCCAGATGTTGTGAAATTGGATATATTATTTCTTTAAAATACATTTGGATGTTGAGCCCTGAGAGGAAATGTGTACATTTTATTGTATGTTTACATTACACATTAAGTGAACATTTGCGTATTTTTTTATAGCAAGTGACTGAACCTGGAAAATATCTTCAGGCTCAAGTTCACTACCAATTAGGTAAATGACAATATAAGAGCAAGAATAAACTTGTGTGAGTTCCCAATCCATCCAATTCATACTGTATCTATCCTATGAGCAATGGAGATTTATTTTTATCTCAGAAATGAGGGAGAGCTTGGCTACATTATATGTAGATTAGGTTTATCTCTTGCATATACGGTGAAAGTTATGCTAACTATCCATCCATTTGGCCCTTGTTGTCATTTTCACAATTTTTTTTTTTTTTGAGACAGGGACTTGTCCTGTCATCCAGGTAAGAGTGTAGTGGCATGATCATAGCTCATTGCAACCTTGAACTCCTGGACTCAAGCCATTCTCCAGCCTTGGCCTCCCAAAGTGCTGGGATTACAGGTGTGAGCCACCACATCTGGCCCATTTCACATTTTTTTTTTTTGAGACAGTCTCACTCTCCTGCCTGGGCTAGAGTGCCATGGTGTCAGCCTAGCTCAGAGCAACCTCAAACTCCTGGGCTCAAGCAATCCTCCTGCCTCAGCCTCCCTGGTATCTGAGGCTACAGGCACGCACCACCATGCCTGGCTAATTTTTTCTATTTTTAGTTGTTTGGCTAATTTCTTTCTATTTTTAGTAGAGACAAGGTCTTGCTCTTGCTCAGGCTGGTCTCGAACTCCTGAGCTCAAGCAATCCTCCTGCCTCGGCCTCCCACAGTGCTAGGATTACAGGCGTGAGCCACCGCACCCCGCCGCATTTCACATTTTTAACTACCCTTTTTTTTCTGCACCTGGCCCAAGTTCTATGCAACCTGCTTTCACATTGAAGGAACCTACAAAAAAGAGATGGAGTTACATATATGCCCTGTATTACATTCTCCTTTTCCTGGATCTCCTTCCAACTTCCAACATTGACCACCTCAACCTGTTTGTACTTCCCAAAAGGAACGATGGTACTCACAGGGTTAATGAAGTTTCTCAGTATCCCAGTAGCATGCCTCTTTCTTAAACATGCACGCGACACACACACACACACACACACATACACACACACACACTCACTCACTCTGACAACCCAAAATAAGTGACTGAGGAAAAGATCTCAATCAATGGAGATTTATTAACCCAAAGTTTGAGGACGTGCCCAGGAAAAGCACTAACCACAGAAGCCCCTGTGGCCCGTGCTCTCTGAAGAGGGATTTGGAAACTCAGTATTTAAGGGGAGAGGGTAAGGCAAATGATTACATTCTTGTGAGACTTTAGCTAGTGTCCAGAAAATCTACACACTTTACATAGGAATAGGTGGATACTTGAAGAGAAAAAAAGAGTAAAGGAAGAATCAATTGCGCAAAGTCCCTGGGTAGATGGAAGAAAGATTGATCTTGTCTTGTCTCTGTCCTGCACCTGGGAAGATAAACTTGTAAAGGAAATCAAACAGACTTTAGTTTTAGGGGCTAGGCTTAGCCTGCAGACCTACAGGTATAATTTGCGTGTCCTTGTTTATGGGAGGCCACCAAAGAATTTCCTTATGAGTGATCTGTGGGGGCTGCCATTGTAGATGCCTGAGGCCTTTTACCTTTCTGTGGGGATCTGGCTAATGCATAATGTTAGTAACAGCTATCCATTAGGAAGGGGTGTTGCATGATTCAGCATCCAGGCTTGACCTTCCCTTTTGTACAAGAAGTTGGGGGAGGTGGTGGTCCTGAGATTTAAATTCTCCTTTATAAGAGTATAAGAAGGAAGATTTTATTGTGTTTAGCTGTGAAAACACCTCAGATTCTCCCACTTGGGTGGTATCTATTTTTCTACGGAGAGATTTAAACAAACAAATTACTTCCTTTACTTTTAAATGGCCGTCATTGATCATTTTGCTTTAGTTTCTTTGGGGACGGTGTTGTGTATAATAGACATCTAAAAATCCTTATGTTGGGCCGGGCGCGGTGGCTCACGCCTGTAATCCTAGCTCTCTGGGAGGCCGAGGCGGGCGGATTGTTTGAGCGCGGGAGTTCGAAACCAGCCTGAGTAAGAGCGAGACCCCCGTCTCTAAAAATAGAAATCGGACGACTAAAAGCTATAAAATTAGCTGGGCATGGTGGCCTGTAGTCCCAGCTACTCGGGAGGCTGAGGCAGTAGGATCGCTTGAGCCCAGGAGTTTGAGGTTGCTGTGAGCTAGGCTGACGCCACGGCACTCACTCTAGCCAGGGCAACAGAGTGAGACTCTGTCTCAAAAAAAAAAAAAAAGTCCTTAGTCTTAGTTTGATTATTGTAATCACAACTATGTCACCCAGTTCCTCCAAAAAAAAAAAAAAAGAATAAATCAAAATACATGCTCATTATCAGGAACTCAAAATCAAATTTTCTCACAGGTAGCCACTTTCAGGTTGTTTCCATTTTTTTTTTTATTTTCCAATAATTTTAGATCAACAGACGAATTGCAAAGACACTACAGAAAATTACGATATATCCTTCATTCAGCCTGCTTCCCCTGATGTTAAAATCTTACATAACCATGGTACACTTATCAAACCTAAGAAATTGGCATTGGTACAATACCAATAAGTAATTCACAGACTTTATTCAGATTTTACATTTTTCCACTAATGTCCTTTACTGTTTCAGAAGTCAATCCAGGATAGCGCGTTGCATTTAGTTATCATATCTTCTTAGTTTCCTACAACCTGTGACAGTTTCTCTGTTTTCTCTTGTTTTTCATGACCTTGACACTTTTGAAGAATATTGGTCAGGTGTTTTCTAGATTGTCCCTTACTTTGGGTTTATCTGATATTTTTTCATGATTAGGGAAGAATACCACGGAGGTAAAGTGACTATGCCACCATATTATGAGAGTATACATGATGTTACTCTGACTAACCACTGATGATGTTAACCTTGAACACTTGGTTAAGGCTCAGGTTTGTCTAAAAACTATTTTTGGCAAGGTGTAGTAGTTCATGTCTGTAATCCCAGCGCTTTTGGAGGCTGAGGCAGGAGGATTGCTACAGGCTAGGAGTTTGAGAGCAACATAGTGAGACATCTCCAATGCCCCTTCTTGCCCTACCCCCATCTCTATGAAAAATAGAAAAATTAGCCAGGTGTGGTGGCATGCACCGCAGTCCAAACTACTCGGGAGGCTAAGGCAGAAGGATCACTTGAACCCAGGAGTTTGAGTTTGTAATGAGCTATGATTACACCACTGCACTCTAGCCCTGGGAACAGAGAGAGCAAGACCCTGTCTCAGAACAAAACACTATTTTTTTTACATGTCTCCCTTAAGAATGCACTATCATCCTCCTTAGTTTACATAGTATTCAGTTTAACTTTGTATCCTCTGTTCTAAACGCAGTGTCTGACATGTTGTAAATGCCTAAATGATACTGAATAAAAAATGGCCTGGTGAGGAGCAAGGGAAAGGGTATTCCAGGTTAAAGATCAACCTGTGCAAAGTCACCTGGATTAGATAGAGCAGTGTTCCTCAAATGTGCATACAAAACACCTGGAGATCTTGTAAAATGCAGATTCAGAAGGTCTAAGGTGGGGCCTGAGATCTATCATGTCTAATAAGCTCCTATGTCAATCAATTCTACAACCATTTTACTACCCAGTAAACTAAGGCTCAGAAGGGTCAAATGCACTTTAAAAGAAACTAAGACTTAGAAAGGTCAAATGTATTTCCCAAGGTCACAGTCCAGTAAATCAATGCAGTTCTGCCTGGCAAACTTTCACTAATCAACCTGAAGATCCTTCCGTCTTCACC